ACGTTACTGTGAGGACAGAAGGCCCAGGTGGAAGCTTGGGGACACAGCTCAAGGGCCCGGTGAACGTTCTCCCTAGTGGGACTGAGAGTAGATGACATGTTACTCTTAAAACTGTAAGTGAGCTTGGCAAATAGTCCTTCTTCTATTGACTTAGGTAGAATAAGAAATTTTAATGGGCAAGGGAAAAAACCAATGGCTCATTCTACTATTTGAGCACATTTTCAGATGCAATGAGTACACTTTTTAAAAATGTAGTATTTATTTGTACAACTCCTCCTAACACAGCTACCTGATGAATCAACAGCCAGCCTGTGTTCCTATGTGTGTATGTTCATTTGGACATTAATACACTTTAACGTGCCAGCCAGGTTTAAACCGAGGAAAACTGTGCACACATCTCAGCAGAGCACCTTCAACCTCAGGCACCCTCTGCCCCTGAGCTCTGACAAAGCCCACGTTATGAGCTGTTGAGGCAGGAAGGCGACACCTCTTCTTCAACACTGAACCTGATCTGAATATGTCTATTCCTCCAGATGTGGGTTAAGGTTTGAGACAACAGAGGATGTCTTCCCTCCCCTTCAAAACAGAAAGCACTAAAAATAAGAATGTTATTAAGCAAAGGTATACAGATCCTGATCAATTCTTTTTTTTAAAAAAATTCAAGTCAACAGGGATGAAGAGATTCCTGTTCACACATCAGCGTCTTAAAATACCCTCAAAAAATAATCACAATTGCAGTCACACACTCCAAGCATGAAGTGGACTAAAGGGCATCAATGCGACTCATGACAAGAGGGCTGAAAGTGACCCTGCTGAAGCAGCCATCCTTTAACTGAAGTGTACTTGAGAACAGAGGCAGGAATCATGTGATCCTTGTAGACTTTATTCACTCTGGAAAATATTTACTAAATACAGTGTATGCTAAATCCTGGGACTAAAAAAGAGCGTAAGACACGACCTCAGCCCTAAAGGAGCTTACCCCCTAACAGGAAGAAGGATGTATACACAGTTACTATACAACTGTGAGAGAAGAGAAGTTCGGGGGAAGAGAAGCCAAGAATGTATCATATTAACTAGATTAAAAAAGAGGAGGAGGAGGAAGAGGAGACGGAGAAGAAGGAAAAGAAAGGATTCCTAGCTTTGCAGAGGAACATTTTAAACCGAAACTGACTAGCAGAGGGGAAAGGGGAAAAGAGGTCAAGAATGCCCTCATTACAAATCTAAGAAAGAATAGTCAAGACAAGTTTTCAAACTTTTAAACACAACAAAATCTTCAACTCTGAATCCCCTACTGAGGATGAGTCTGGAGCTCTGTTTCTGTTTACTTTCTAAGAATCTAAAACATCTACATGAGGAACCATGCTTAGCTTTGAATTTTCCAGTTTTGAAATTCTAAAAAACTCAAGAATTGTGCTAAGCAGACAAGATCCCCCAAATTCATAACAGGAAACATGGCATTTTCCCAGATTATTCTCTGGCTTCAATGAAGAGAGAGAATGGGGACCACACCACAGCACCAGGATTTATAAATATGAATTACAGGATGAGATGATTTTCCAAACATCTGTCAGAAGCTAATTTGATCCAAGAGAAAAGGAAAAAAAAGACTCAGAGGGAAGCCAAATAGAGTGACTAATGTGTGGAACTTCTGTGGACTTTGGTGGGTTGGTGGCCTCAGGGGTATTGCATGCCCACTCTACAATAATAAATACCCACAGTCTGTACAATAATGCAATTTATACCATTCAAAGCACTTCCCCATGTGCTCTCTCATTTGATTCTCACAATGCACACAGTGGATATCTCCAGTTAAACGTAAAGAGAGCTACTTGGTACTCTGACATGCGACGTAAAGTAGGAAGAAATGTAGAGATACCACAAAGCACGGCAGTTAAAAGAAAAAGCCTTTGAGTAAGTCAGAACTGGTTTCAAATCATGGTTCTGGTACTTACCAGCTAAATAATCTTGGATAAATAGTTTAATATTTTCTTCTAGGACACCATACCTATAAAATGAGGATAACAACTCCTGGAGTTGTTACACAGGTTAAATAGTGCAGTACAGTGTCTGTAGCTAGAATAGTGTCTGACATACAGTAGATGCTCAGTAAGTGAAAACTAGCAATGGTAGTTTTCAAAAGCTCCACACCCACCTGGGGTAACACCATTACTAGGATATCACATCAGCTCAAATAATTCAGAAACAAAATTTTACCCTGGATTTAAACTGAGCTCAGATACCTAGATGTCTTATAACAAAGTAGCAGATGTCTTATAATAAGAAGCAGCCCCTTAGGATCTATCTGTCTAGTCTGTTTCTTGTATTTTGTAACCTGGTTGGGGGGCGGGGGAGAGCACTTCAAGGAAAACTGAATAGAGTATGTATAGGAATGGGCTATTTTTGCAATTTTCCAACTTTTGCTTGATGATGTAGAGAGACTTGGGTAGAAATGATACCACATCCCTTTCTCTGTTGTGAAAACATAGGCTACTTGACACACTTAATCCCTACTTCTGAATGTTCTGCTTGGCTACTGTGTAGGACGTGCTTTGGAAGCAGGTCAATATCCATTCATTTGATTGGCAAGAGGAAATAGCCATCTTTTAAATTTCTCAGTTCTATAAAGTTGACTAAATGAAAATCTCTTAACTTTTCTAGGTTTCAGCATCTTCATCCGAGGAATGAAAATACTCATACTTGCCCACCTGAGTTGCTATAAGTTAAAGAAGGTTTTTTTAACAGCTTTTAATCACAATCACAGTGAATGAAATTAAAATGATGGAAGAAACCTCAAAAGCAATTAAATGATGAAAATCACCTAGGCATCACTTTTACACAGGTGACGTGGTATAATGAAGAAAGTGCATATCTAGAAAGAGAGCGACCTGTTCTGATCCTGGTTCTGCCACTAACTCAGCCTGATATCTTGTCATTCACTTATTCCCTCAAATACTTACTGTATACCTACTAGATCCCTGTTGCTACTACTACTACTAAAACTACTAGTAATAGTTGTTCTGCCTTCCTCAAGGGCTGTTATAAGAATGAAGAGAAATAATTTATAGGCAAATCCTTAAAGGTAAAAGAGCTATGAAAGTATGTAGTGACTTCATTATATTATATATTACATATATATGATATTATAGCTATGTCTAAGTTATCTTTAAAGCATGAAGCTGACTTGCCATGTCAAGTTTAAGAGGTCATGAGGCTCCCTGAGTTTCAGTTTCTTTACCCGTGATCTAAGGGCACTGAGCTAGATAACTCATATTCCCTCTAGTGTTAATCAGCTGACTAAGATGTTCTTACTTTTGAAATGAGAAACCAAAAACTAAGAGAGGTTTAGTGATTTGTTCAAGGAACACAGTACCAGAACAAAACTGAGATTAGAATTTAGATTTTCTACTTTTGAAAAGTTATCATGCCTTCAAAAAATAGGAATTTTCATTTGTACAGGCTCTTGAAACAGACCTTGAATTTTGCTGTTGTCCCTAAATCTTCAATCTCAGCTGGACTATGTACTTGAGATGATCAAAGTTATGTGACTGCATTTGTGAAATTAATCACCAAATTGCTATTTCAGTCTCCTGAGAGTTTCATTATTCCAAAAAGATTTGGTCCTTTTTACTTGGATTTGATGCTTGCTCTAATTTTTTTCTATTATAATGAGAAAGCACTGCCACCTACTGGACTCTGAAGACACTGCTGCTATAGTTTGAGAAAAAGAATTCTCAACCTCTAAAGCTTTTTGCACTTTATCGAAAATGCAATAGTTAAGAGTTATTATGACAGTATGAGTTACATAAAAACAAAACTCCAAAAGTTGGGGCTAGAGGTAAAGCAGAGTAGGAGAGGAAAACACCATCCCCTGAAGATTCTTAATCTCAAGTATCGCTACGGTAGTCCTAAATATAACAAGCATTCACCTTCATTCATTAATAAAATTTTACTGAGCACCTACCACATGCCAGGCACTGTTCAAGGGACACAGCAGTAAGCATCAGAGATGTAATTCCTCTTATCATAGGGTTTAGAGCCTAGTGAGTAGTTGTTTCCATATATTATTGAACTCTACCCGAGTGCCAGGCCTGTAATACACATTATCACCTTCAATATTCAAAATAATTTATGATGAGGTAGAAACTGTTATCTACACTTACAGATGAAAAAATAAACTCAGAGATGACTCAATTTGCCCAAAATCTCTCTCACAGGCAAGCAGCAGTGATGCCTGGAATTAAATTCACATAAATCTGACCCCAAAATCCATATTCTTAACCACTGGAGTGTACATTCACCCAAGTAGTTGTCAGCATCCTCTCAAAAAGAACAGTAGTTGCCAAAAAGTAATTCAGGCAAAGATAACCCTACAAGTCTATATAGAAGGCAAAACTCCTGCACTGGGATCTGAAAGGTTTCCAGCTTACTGAATACAGAGCTGGCCCAACAGCCTCCCATTCTCATGTTCCCCTAGCTGCCATCCTAGCAGTAAAATACACTTGGGAAACATCTCTCCAGGCCTCCTAACCTTATTCACCAACCTCTTCCTACAGTTCTCTCGAAATTCTTTAAGGTTCTACTATAATTCACCTGTGTTAAGACCTAAACAACTGATATCAAGAATAATTTTTTAAACTAAACCTAAATGTAAACTAGAACTCTTCTGGAATAAATGCTGTTTTATCTCAGCTAAAAGAATAAATGTTTGTGAATCTGCGTCTAAGACTTTTAAAGGCCACAGTACTTCGTTTAATAATGGGCACATAATATGTACTTGATATTTACTGACAGAAAAAAAATCACGAATCACTTTTACAACTAAAGATAGAAGATTTTTTTACCATCACTGATTCAATTATTTATTTGTCTGTACTGCAGTTAAATATTTAAGAGTTCGACATTTGTATGCCAAATAAATGAAATTTTACTACATAAAATTAACAAGAACATATCACCCCCTAATAATGCCAGCAGAGGTTACTGAATGAAGGATTCAAACCCACGGTGTATATTTTAGTCAAAGATTTTCAAGTGTAGTAAATAGTTTCCAAATATACTCCTGGCAGTGAGACTGAACTACTAGTCCAATGTAGTAAATAGTTGAGAGATTTACCAGGTTCCTAAAAACAACAGAAATGAGTAAAGCCTTTTTGAGAAGCAGATAAACAAAGAGGCAAAAGTTCTGAGCAAACTGAAGTTCAGCTTTTAGACCCACAGTGGCTGAAGACACTTTAAAGTGGACAGAAGAAGGATTAACAGCAACATAATCATCAGAAGGAATAATAAATGTGTTTCTGGTTACAGCTAATGTAGAAAAACAAGAATGCTAAAGAACTGGTCAACCAAAATTTGATTCACTGTCTAAAACATGCTTCCTTTTTGCTTCACAAGTATAACCTTTCCTCTTCCGTATAGAACACAAATTCTTAAAATACAATCCTGTTCTCAAAGCCTTGTTGCTTCAGCATTTTGTAATCCTTTATGAAATATTTCAATCCCAGATATGCTATCCACGTGCAATGACTGTGATTACAAGTATATATGGACTGACTTTTACAGCTGCACCATATGTTTCTGTTCACCATTTGTTTTCTTTTGTGCTTTCCTTGTCTGATTCCTACCAAGTTGACAAAGTTTTCTACTCTGTATATTCTCATTTTCTTTCTCTGCTAATTAAAAACCTTTATTATTTCTAGTGTCTACTAGGCATCTTTAGATTTTTAACATACATATTCTGCAACAGATTTTTCTAAGAAATTCTAAAATTGTTTACTGTCTCCATCCTCTTCCCAACCAAACCGATGACCTCAGTGAATCTTACTCTTTAAACAGCCTCCCCCACTTCATGATTGTTGTCTAGAGCAGTGCTTCTCAAACTCTCTGTGGGGAAGGACCAGCTGCTTCTCCTTCAATTCACTGTGAGCTGATGCTTTTATAAAATACAGAAAAAGCCACAATAATGTCAAATTGCTATAAATGTTTCAAGACACTTACTTTCACTTTTTATACTTGGCTCACCACAGACTGGTGACTGACAGTTCTTAGACTGGCTCTGCTCCACAGGCTATGCTTTGAACAACAGTGGCCATTTATTTTACCTTAAAACACACAAGCTTACTGTAAATTAGTTTTAGTGTGCATTTCCGTTTCAGTCAGTAGTTAACTAAATCCCCTAACATTTTAACCATTTGTATGCACCTGGCTGTCCCTTGCTGTTGCAGCCCACATCTTCCCTTTGGGATCACTTCTCTATCTGCACCATTCATCAGAGATAAAGAACCTGTGGGAAATAAACCCTCAGTCTTTGTGTACTTAAAACTGCCTCTCTTTCACCCTCACTCCTGACTGAAAGTTTACCAGAAATAAAATCATACATGAACAGTTTATAGCACTTTGGAGATATATTTCCTCTGGCATCTACTGTTGCTATCAGAAGTCTGCTGTCAGTCTAACTCGTGGGTAATATTTCTTCTCTCTGCTAGCTTTTAAGATTTTCCCTTTTTAAATTATCCTTAAAGATTGATGGTTTTTCTAAGGTATCTTTTCCCAGCCTCCTTCTGTAATAGGGAGAGAGTGTTCATCTTGCCCAGAGGAGCTCATCTTTCAGCCAACTAAGCCCAAGGCTTCTGCCCACTTCTCTGTGTTTCTAGCTCATTTCTGTTCCAGATATGTTTATTATCTTGCTTTTTGTTTGTTGTAGCAAGTTATGTCTCTTTAAACTTCACTGATTTTTTATCACTGTTTTTGTTTGGTGCAGCAGGTCTCAAAGTGTGCACTTACAATGCCTTCTTGACTGAACACCCTGCTCATGGCTTTCTTAACAAAGAAAAAGAAAAACCCTTTTTAAGGTTCACCTTATATGTCAGGTGTTTATTTGAAAGCTGGAACAGGGGCAAAGGTAAGCTCAACTTTAAATTTATAAAATTCATTGAGTGAAGGACTTTAGAATAAAATGCACCACTTATTACAATCACTTATTCAGTAAGCATTTATTGACCATCTGACTTCAAATCCCAGCCCCACTACTGAGTAGTTGTGTAACCTTGGGAAAGTTACTTATCTTCTCTGTGCTGGCTTCCTCTTCTATAAAAGGACAATTGTGAGGTTTAAATGAGGCAAAATATGTAAAGCACTTAGAATAGTGCCTGGCACATAAGTGCTCACTAAACATTGGTTATTATTATTACTGTTGTTAGGGAGAAACACTTAATCTGCGCTCCCATGTTTCCACACAGGAGGAAAACTTTCCAATCCACTTCCCAGAAGAGAAGTTTCTGAAAAGAACATTTCTAGTTTCTCTGTGTCTTTCACTCACTCCTCCCCAGGATTGGCAGATGATTTATCTGACTGCTGAGTTTGGGAGATGAAACTGAGCATGACTGCCTTATTTCTTTCTAGGTCCCCCCCATTCAGGAACAGCCTGTGTAAAGTAAACATAAATTCTGCTTTTGTCTCGGAGGATCAGGCTTTGTCCCTCCAAAGGGAAGATCCCAGTTCTACTTGTTCTGTTATTTGCGGGTGTGGGGATTCAATCTGGGAGGAAGTACCATATACAAGCTCTTTCAGTTACAGAATTTAAGCCAAACTTGTCAATTCATTTTATCAATAATAACCAACATTCGATCTTCATTTATCACCTGTCTTAAATCTAAACATGTTTCAAAATCAGGAGAAGAAAGGGGTGTTAGTTATTGGCCTACTCAAAACCTCAACTACTATTAGTATCTGGCTATAGGATTCTCAGGGAGATTAAATCAGCAACAGACATAAAACTTTTAAATAGTGTTTGATAGATAGTAATATTCAATAGATATTAGCTATTAGTATTACTACTATGTGCCAGACGTGCTAGATGGTGAGCTAGTTACCAGCTGCAAGAGGAACTTAACCCCTTCACAGGGTCAGGATGGCTGACCCTGACCCTGGGGGGGCACTAGAAACAACAGCAGTAGCAGTTCCCACATTCTCTCATTAAATCTAACATTTTTAGTAAGTAAATACCAGGTCTCAGGGACAGTGGTAAGTACTGGGAATTCAAAATTACATATAGAAATCTGTCCTTAAGAAGCTTACAGACTATAAAGAAAGAAAGAGCTAAAAAGTGTTATGTCAAAGGCATACACAGGGTATTGCTATACTGTAAGAACTTAGAAGATAAGGGCTTTAAAATTAATTAAGAAAAAAAAGTTTGTCAGAGCTTGAACTGAGTTCTGATGAAGGCACCTAGAATAGCTTGCATTCTGCCAAATGGAATGGGCATTTTTCAGTCTTCATCTTATTTGAGCACATCCTCCCTTTAAAAACCAAAAACCAAACCAAAACAAAAACCTCTTTCTTTGACCTCTGAGATTCTACAAGAGACTTCACTCTCTTTTCCTCATCTCTCTCTCATGATTCCTTGTCAGCCACTTTTTTCCCAATGCCTCCTCCTGTGTTTGGCCTTTAAAAGTTAGGATCCCCAAGGCATGGTTATTAAGCCCCTCTTTCTCACCACACAGCTTGTCCCTAGTCTGTCTTATCTGAACGCATGACTTTAATGACTAGTTGCTTTGGTCCCACGTTTATATCTCTAACTCACTCTCTTCTCTGAACTCCAGACTCATATAATCCAAATATCTACTTTAACACCTACACGTGGATATCTCAAAGGCATCTCAAAGTCCGTATGATCAATTCTGACTCAATCGCGATCTGCCTCCACCAAAGCTGGTCTTCCTCCAGTGTCCCTTAGTTCTCTCAGTACCTGGCACCTTTATTTATCTGGTTACTTCATCTAAGCAAGAAACCCAAAAGTTGTCCTTAACACCTTCTTTATTCTTACACCCTAAATTCAAGCCATCACCAGATCCTAATGATTTTTATCTCTGAAAACTTTCCTATCTTCTATTGTACCATAACCCTGTTCCAAACTATCAACCTCTCTTACCTGATATACTTTAAGATCCTTCTTACTGTCTTCCCACATATATTCCTGCCTCTTCTACAATCATAATTTATCAGCAGAGAGAAATTATTAAAATTCAAATCTAATTCTATATCTGCCATGCTGAAAATCCTTCAACACACTCTACTGCTCTTAGGATAAAATCCTTTAAAAGGTTCTGTGTTATGTGGTCCTTGTCTACCTTTCCAGCCTCATCTGGCATCATTCTCCCTTTATGACTCGGACTTTCCTTCAGGCCCCATTCCCCCCGGCATTCTATGGCCCTCAGCATGTTACCCTCCTCTACCTGGGATGCTTTCCCTGTTCAGCCCCCACTGCCTCCACATTGTTCACGTCCACTTATCCTCTGCATTGTAACCTTAAAAGTCAAGTCCCCGCAGGCCTTTCTTGAGCCATTAGAGTAGCAAGGTCCTCATTTCATTACCACCATTTGTGTTTATGTAGGTATCTTTAGGTTACTTTATCAGTGTTAGTCCCCTCCACAGACTCCACGACAGCAGGAAAAAAAAATCTGTTTGCTCATCGTTGTACCCTTAGCCCTTAGAGCACAGTGGCTGACATACAGCAGGTGCTTCATAAACAGTTGTTGAACGAATGGAGCATCCCAGCAACAGGATTTCAGCGACGAAGAATTATGAAATAACATGATCACGAAGAGGAAATAATGTAGAAAACTGACCCCACTGGTTTGTGGCCAGTCTTACGTGTGACAGAGAACACGAATCACCGGCATGTATCACAGAGAGAAGGTACCTGGTACAGGTGGATTCCCTCCCCACTTTCTAACCACCTTTAAATATACAGACAGCATTGACTGTAATAAAGCCTGACTCAGGCATTCTTAAATGTATCCATAGTTTTAAAAAAATATCTGAAACATTCAACAAAACCGTATTGCATTTAATCAAAATTCACCAGTCTTCCTTAACCCCTAAGGAATTATGCAGAAACAGTTGAGATTTTCTTTTAGGAAAATTAACATAATCTGGATTTAGAAAAGATGCATTGGGGTGGTTACAAAATGAATTTTCACTTTGAAAAGCATTCACCCTAAGCCACACTAAACAACAAATATTATTATAATGATACTTAGAACTTGATTCTGTTTACACGGAGCTTTTACCCAGTAAGTCAAAGGCACACTTGCACTGAACAAAGCATTGCGAAAACCCTCTTACCTTATGCTCAAATGGAGCACCATAATAGCCGTCATTCAGCCCAAAAATTACTTCATTTTGGTTGCGGGCATGAATCTAAGAGAGAAGGAAAACACATTATTAGTTCGTTTTATTCCAATCAAGTTTTAATGTGATCAGAAAATGACAGGACCTACTTCAATGCTGAGAAATAGGTTGGCTATATCTAACAAGCCAGCAAAAAATACATCAATTATAAGACCAGGTAACCAATTTAGAGCTTCCTGCTTTAGTCAGAGTCCTCACAAAATCATCACATGTGATCACAGGCACCATTATTCATGTATATTTTCCACAAACACTTCTTGAGGTTGTTACGGAAAGTATATTCCTTAAATACAAGGGAGTCAGAGGCATACTACACGTTCTCTGGTCTCAAAAAAACAGTCTGGTTATTCTGTTAGAGTGCTTTAAAAATATAAAAGCCCTAGAAAAAAACATGAATGATTAATATTGTTTTTTACTTTCAAAAAGACAGTGTAAAGATAATAATACCCAATCCCTAAAGTCTTTAACTGTCTACTAATTATTGTCTGCCTACCACTTTCTTTCAAAGGCAACTGATTTGAGCTTCAGTGAGTGCCACCCCAAATTAAACATTACCTAAAAGGTGGGAGGATTGAAACTTTAAAAATTCAAGAGCTAAGATTAAAAAATAACTCAAAACAGTACAAAGCCTACAAAAATACACTTAGTTATTTGATCAGAAAGAGCTGCGGCTAAAAAAATTTTTAATTGCTTCTGCAGTGAAGGATTAACATGAGGGTTCAAGTGGTGGGAAAGAACATAGATTATCAGAATAGAATATTTCATCTCTTCTTTTTCTGACTAGAGCTAGAAGGGCCAAAGCCAGCAGCAGAAAGCTCCAGTGAACACGTATCTGACTTCCATATCTGCTATATCTATTACTAAAGTAAAATTAATCACATGCTCCCTGTTTACCAACATCATTACTTAACTGAATACACCAACACCAAAAGATGAGCCTGCAATAATAAAACTTAGAAGGAAAACTATAAGCCAATCTCAAGAAGTATTTCATTTTATGAGAGAAAAGAGAAAGCATTATGAAATCAGTTTCAAGATTAGAAGGAACCCAAAGTTTTACAAACACAAAATATTTTATGCACATATATACTTGGGTGGGGGGAGGTTAAAATCATATGCATCAAAATGTTAACAATGGTTGCAGCTGGGCAGGAGGATTACAAATAATTTTTTATTCTCTTCTCTGTGCTTTCCAAAATTTTTTGAACTGTCCACAAAGTACATATATTACTTTTAAAATCAGAAGAAAAAAAACACCATTAAAGAAAGGGGGGGTGGGTGCGATTATGGGCAGGAGTGAATCTAACATAAAGGTAAAGTTTTCAAAGTATAAGCCTCATGAAGATGAGCATTAAATTAATTTGTTGAAAAATAAGAGACAGTATGGTTCTTGGACTTAAAAAGATACTGGATTTAAAAAAAAAAAAACCAACCAACCCCAAGTGATCTGGGTTCTAATTCCAACTTCAATTGTTTCATAAGGAACTCTGGCTTATTTATCTTCATAGCTCTAGTGCCTAACACTCTATCCAGCATATATAGTAGTTAATCAGTGTTAATGGGCTATGCTTTAATTCCCTCACTAGCCAAAAGCAGAAAATATTTCTTGCTCTTTCAGTGGTGACATACAGATGAAACAAGAGAACTGGGTATTAAAGTACTTTTGGAAGTTAGACATGAATAATACTGGAGGGGGAAAAAATCTAATAATGTATCAAAATCAGGTCATTATAAAGTTTGGAAAGATCTCTTTGTTCCTGACTCATAAGGAAGAGAAAAACATGCTTAACAGAACAGCCTGCATGATACTCCACACAACTATGTAACTTCTCAGAACTGCCCTATTATGCTGGTAAGTGTGGACAAATACTATCCTTTAATCCTTAATTACAGATTACTGACCCAAAATCATGTCAGAATCTTAATTTAGAGACTACAGGATACAGAGAAAGAGCATTATTAATCCAACCACAACCTTATATTTTGATCCTTTTATGAAAAAAGGACGTTTTTTTTTAAGATAGTTGATTAGAGTTAGTGAGATGAATATAGTCTGAGCAGTGGAACAAGCAACAGCCTAAATCCTATCACTGTGTGACCTTTAACAAATCACTTAATTCCTCTGAGCTTCTGTTTTCTCACTTCAGTACTGAGGAAAATAACCTCGTTCAAAAGGCCTCAGCTCACTATGTGCATGTTAAAATGATTGTGTGATGGTGAAAAGATACCCAAACACTGAAAGACTATACAATTACTGTTATTAACACAAAGTTCTAACCTCTTAAACTAAGCACAAGAACTTCTGTCACTACAGGTACCCCACATAAGCATTCTCAGCAAATTCTCCAAATTCCCATCGTGAATGGAGCTATTTTCAAACTCTCTGTCTCTTTGTCATCAAAATCCGAGTTAGAATCAACTTAGTGAATGACTTCTGGGAAAAAGCTCCTGAGTTATTCTCTTATCTCTAAAGGCTATTCAGGAAACTGGATTGCAATTGTCATTCTGGTACAAGTATGTGACTTTGGACAAGTTGCATCATCACTCTGAGCCCTACTTTCTTCAACTAAAAATGAATGGATTAGATCATGCTCTGTTATATCATATTTCTCTGCCGATCCCCATCTTTTCTCCTCTGGTAATTCCAACATATCATACAAAATTCACTCAGGACTACAAATCAACAGAACCTAACCAACATTTGTATAACATTTCATTCGGTGATAGCAGAATACACATGTCAGGTATATGAAACATTAACCAAGACAAGCCATATATTATGGGCCATAAAATAAAAAAAGTTAAAAGGATTTAAAATGAATATAAAGTATTTTCTCCAAACTCAACAGATTTAAAGTAGAACTCAACAACAAAAAAAAAGGATTATCTGAAAACTCCACAAATGTTTGAAAATTAAACAACATACCTCTAAATAACCCTTCGGTCAAGAAGAAATAAAAGAGAAATCAGAAAATATTTCAAATTGAATAAAACTGAAAATGCAGTATCAAAACTTCTCTTTTATTTTTAAGATATCTTTCTCTCAACACTTATGAAATTATAAGACTTTTGGGAGCTGTGACCCAGGAACTAGGGAGAAAGACCAAATATATATTTATTATAAATCATAATATTGCAAAACCAAACACTCGTTCTTTGAAAAGCTGATCAAACTGCTAAATCTCTAGTCAGAGTGATCAAGAGAAAAAGAGAGAAGACAGAAATGACCAATAGCAAGACTAAAATAGAAAAGGATCATTATATATCCTACATACATTAAAGATTTGAAATTTTAGGTGAAATCAACAAACTCTTTGGAAGATAAATTATCAACACTCACCTAAGAACACACAGATAACCTGAATAGCCCCATAATACTGTAATTGAAGTCATACTTTTAAACTTTCCCACAAAGAAGTCTTAACCCCTTGATGGCTTCACTGAAGAATTCTGTCAAACATCCATGAAATAAATAGTAACAACTCTACACAAATTCCTCCAGAAAATGTAAGAACATTTCCCAACCCATTTTATAAGACCAGCATTACTCTAATATTAAAACAGATAGGAATATGGAAAAAAAAAAAAGTAAAGACCAATAGCCCTCATAGACATAGGTGAAAGAAGTCTTAACAAAATATTAGTAAACTGAAACCACTACAAATGAAAGGAAACTTCCCCAACCTGATAAAAGTGTCTATAAAATTCATATCTAATAATATACTTAACAGTGAAAAACTGATTGCTTTCCTCCAAGAACAGCAACAAAACAAGGATGCCCACTCTACTCTTTCTATGACATTGTACTGAAGTCTTAACCAGTGAAATAAGAAAAAAAAGAAAAACACACAAACATCAGAAAGGAAGAAATTAACCTCCTTTGTTCACAAACAACATGACTGCCTACAAAGAAATCTACAAAAGGAATCCACACACACACACAAAAAGTCTAGTGAATCTAACAAGTGAGTTTAGCAAACTCAATTCAGAAATGTTACTATATACTAGGAACAAAAATTGGAAAGAAATATTTTTTAAAAGAATATCATTTAAATTAGGATCAGCAAACATGGAATCCATAGGTACAAATCTGACATGTGCAAGATCTACATGCTGAAAACTACAAATAATTGATGAGTGAAATAAAAGATTTTCACAAATGGAAAGATACACCATGTCTGTAGATTAAAACATTCAATACTAAGCTGTCAATTCTCCCCCAATTTTCCAAGATTCAACACCTACCAAAATCACACCAGGATTTTTATAGAAACCAAACTAATTCTAAAGTGTACATGTAAAGGCAAAAGATCTAGAATGACCAGAACAATTCTGAAAAAAGAACAAAGTTAGAGAATTCAAGATAGTACAAAACTACAGAAATGAAGATAATGTGGTACTGGCATGAAGACAGACATGTAGATCAATGAAACAAAACAGAGGGTCCAGAAAGAGTAAAACAGAGGGTCCAGAAAGAGATGCATATAAATGATTTTCAACAAAAAGACAGGGTAATTCAAAGGAGAAACAGCCTCTACAACAAGGAGTACAAGAAAAAATAAATATTCATCCATCTCCAAGACAATAAAACTTGCTCTTTATATAAAAGCTAATTCAAAATGGATCATAGACAAAAATGACTAAAACCTAAAACTATAAAACTTCTAGAAGAACTTCACAGGAGAATATCTTTGTAATGTTGGGTTAGGCAAGGATGTCTTACACAACACACAAAACGAATGAAACATAAAAGAAAGAAAACTGATACAGTAGGCTTCATCAGCATTTAAAAATACTGTTCTCTGAATGACACTTATAAAACAAAAGACAAGCCAAAGAAGGGCAGAAAACATGTGGAAAATACGTATCTCATAAAGAACTAACTAATATCCAGAATACCTAAGGAAATTCTACAACTTAAAAATGAGAATTCAAACAAATTAAAAAATGGGCAAAAGATCTAAACAAACATTTCACAAAAAACGAAGGAGAGGGGATTCATGGCAAATAAACATACATATATTTTTTAATGCCCAACATCATTTCATCATTAGGGAAAGTTTAAGTTAAAATCAGGATGAGATACCATTTAAACCCATTAGAATGGCTAAAATTAAACGGACTGATAGTAACAAGTGCTTACAAAGATAAGGAACTGTCATACATTGCTCCTGGGAATGCAGAATGGTGGTCACTTTGGAAAAAGAGTTTCAGTGTTTCTCACTACCATTAGACCCAGAAACTCCATTGCTGGGTATTTACTCAACAGAAATGACAACGTATGTCAACACAAAGACTTATATTTAATACTTACCCATTACTGAATAAGTATTCATTGCGGAGATGGTCACTTAATTCACACTTGGTCACTTAATTTGTCAAACTCACTAAACTGTATACATTAAAAGGGTGAATTTTACTGTATATAAATTATACCTCAACAAACCTAACTTGTAAAAAAAAAAGTTCATTCAAAAGTCAGCCCTCCTGACTCTATCCAGGCTTGTCTAAATACTTCCTTCATGTAGTCCCATCGCTTTCTAGGCAGGTATTGATCAATTATCAGTTTACTGGGTCTAAGACTCTTGTCTTACTCATCTCTGGATCCTTGACACTAAGAACAATACTGGTAGAAAGCAGAAGATCAATCAATGAACCTAAGTGATTCTGGCTATCATCCTGATACATCTTAAGTCTTACTTTCCTCTAAAATTTTGTAATTTTATTATATCGGATTTTCTAGTAGTACGTTACTTGTTACACCTATTTCATAGGGGGTTTTCAACTTTCCACAATGATACTTAGTTTCTAATTTTTTTTTAAATGTTTTCTCTTTCTTTTGTTTTCTGTTATACGGGCATAACCAATCTCTTAAGGAGACACCAGAATGCTAACAGTCTGAAATTAGGGCAAGTTTAGACAAAAGCATAGCTGGGTATTTCAAGAAGACAACCACCTAAGGAATGTGTGAATTGAAAAGCATGATGAGGCTATCTTCTCTGGCCAAAAAAAAAAAAAAAGACTCCCCTACAAGCCTATAGCCCTGAAATTCTAACGTTAAGAAGCACCATCCCCCACAAAACGCAGATGATTTAAGAAGAAAAATAAACAAAGTAATTAATATCATCGTCTACCCACAGAGAGCCAACTGCAGCATGTAGGAAGATGGAAAGGTATGTGCCCCAGTGAAGAGCGCTCCATGACCAGGCTAAAGGCAACAAGCATCTGGTACTAAAGGAGAGGAGAAAGACCCTAAGCCAAAAGTCATTATTTTATATAAGTATTTGTTAAACCAGGCCTAAAACAGAGGGAACAAATATAAAATTTTAAAAGATTAAGAATGTGTAGCAGGTTAGGATTTAGTTAAGGAAAATATTTATTGCGTACATTGTTCTGGTCACTATAATAGAACATAAAATAAAGTATGGTAAGCAAAATAAGGGCAGAGTTTTGGTGTTTCATTTTAATCTGAAAAAAATATGAAAAATTGTTTAAGAGAAATATACCAGAAAGTATATA